GCTCAGAAACATTTTCAAGGCATAGGAAGACCGTCTTCTTCTCCTAATGTGATCTAAACCCACCCAGACGCACACACCGTCCTTTACGATCATCTCAAGAATGCAATGCTGGCTTTATTCGATCAGAGTTCAAATCATAATGTCACACTTCTTGCATATAAAGCAAAAGCCAACTATTATGTCCTTTGTTTTGGTTAAATTTTTAACTATAGTGCGTTGAATGTACAAGATTCCATCAGATAGAGGCCATAAAAGTACGAGTACAACGCACCAGCGCGTGCGTGAAGCGATTCACTGCGGAAACTGCAGTTAGCAAGCTCAGGCCAAGAAATTGGTTGAATCTGCACACACAAAGCCTTGGAGATCAATGATTGCAATTTGCTTTGGCATCTATCTTTCCTTTACGATGAGTAGTATGCTGTGTGTTCACGGACTGCGGGTTACACATAATCAACATTTTGAACCCACGCTTTTTTCTAGCAACATTCGTCCGATTCTATTTGAGTTCTGCGACCTTCAATACATTCAATACAATATGGAACTGCGGTACATTTTAATACTGGCAAAGACCAGAAAGACAACGCTTGAGTCGTAGGCTACGCGCGATTATTCTGGATAACTCGTGAGCTGAGAACGCAAATCTCAGGCAGATGTGTTAAATAGTAATCTCTTCTTTTAATATTACTCTATCGCCATATGCCGCCTTAATCTTGTTAAAAAATGTAACGCAATTTATCTAATATTAATACTGACCACTGATGGTTGGATCAAACGGTGAAGAAACCAAGAGAGAATGAGCTCTCTTGAAGAAACTAATTACTTTTCGCAGTAGGAGGTTTATTGCTTGTCAGTCAAAACCTAGCGTCCTTAACTACTCCGGCGTCATGTGGTGTGCAAAAGAGAGTCGTATGCGGGTCCTCATGTATACCAAAGACCGAGCACAGAAATACCAGTATCAAAAAAAACAACGGTGTGCCATCATAGGGTAGGCTGTGCCAGGCTCTCAGATGGTGGGGACGTCGCGAGGAAGGTGGAGGTGGCGGGAAAAAATAGGAAGGAGACTGCCATCTCTCTCCTCAGCCCCTGCCAGGAGCTGCCCCTGCGCATTTCGTCTTAACCTAAAGCCCTGGGGACGAGGTTGATTTCAACTAACACTTTTTACTGCGCTACTGCACTACTATCTTGGAGCCTGGAACAGGCTAGTCATAAGGTTATTATTTGTGAACCAGGCTAGGCTCCTGAGCAGGCTGATCTGGCTGTTTCATGTTACCTATGAATACCTATGGAGGCCCGTTCTGGTCAAAATTAATATGATAAAATTGCATCACAAGTGACTTTTTTGGCCAGTGCAGCATTTATTATGGACCCGTTGTGTATTTTTGTCATCACTACAGAGGATTTTTTTTAGTGTGTTGTTAATTTCTTTTAGCTGCATGAATTATTTTTTATGAAGGCTGTTTAATTTTTTTATGTTGTTGTATGAATAAATTTTTCATGCGTACCACAAATTATTTTTTTAGTGGTACTGCGAATTATTTTTAATACAACTATTGAGAATTATTTTTTCATCGTGCTGATAATTATTTTTCACGGTATCGTGAATTTATTTTTGGGCCTACAATGCTTTGCGGGCCTTGCAGTTGAAGTGGACTGATTCGAGTCTTTGACTTCCTTGGGCGACCATTTTGAAATCTTTGAAGTGGAGGAGTGCTTTCAAAGAGAATGCCAAGGCGAAACATTTTCAGGGAAAGAAACGAAAGAGGTTTTCATCTTTCTTACAAAATCTGTCAGGAGCCAGTAGTCTGTGCGTTAGTGATGAGGTTTTCTGGACCGAAGATTTAATAGTGGAGACTACGAAGCGACTTCACGACTTGTACAATGACAACTTCAGGAAGGATCTCACGATTCTAATCCTGACGGGCGGGCACAAGAACTAGCAGAGCCAAATGGATTCAAGGTAGAAGACCTTCGCAGAGTGCTAGTGAGAGTAGGGAACTTGCTCGAGTGCCTTTACGATGGCGGTATAGTAATTCCTGATTTTTAACATAAATATTCGGAGATGAATGAGTCTGTCCAACGTCAGATACCTGAGATATATAGCCAATAATGCCATAACATAAATATTAGATAAATCAATCAAATTTCCCAGTTAGTGAGGTCTACTCTAACTAGCACTCAGCGAAGGTCTTCTACCTTGAGTCCATCTGGCTCTGCTTCTAGTGCTCGCCCGTCTGGATTAGAATCGGGAGCTTCTTCCTGAACTTCAGGGTAGGGGACACTCTCATTCTCTGCGTCTTTGTTCCGAAAGCCAGCATGTGTAGTACGAGACGAGGAATCGAGGTACAAGATTGGGTAGAGAACAGTTCAATTGGGCAGACATGTCAGGTTGAATAAGGGTTAGAATTGTGTACGAGTCGTGGAGTCCTTTCGTAGTCTCCTCTATTAAATCGTCGGTCCAGAAAACCTTATCACTAACGACAGACTACTAGCTCTTGACAGATTTTGTAAGAAAGATGAAAACCTCTTTCGTTTCTTTCCCTGACAATGTTTCGCCTTGACATTCTCTTTGAAAGCACCCCTTTCAAAATGGTCGCCCAAGGAAGTCAAAGACTGGAACCAGTCCACTTCAAATACAAGGCCCGCAATGCATTGTAGACCAAAAAATAAATTTGCGATACCGCGAAAAATAATTTACGGCCCAATTAAAAAATAATTCTTGATACACATTGGAAAAATAATTCGAAGTACCACTGAAAAATAATTCATGGCATGAATGAAAAAAAGCATTTTGTATAATTAAAACAAAAATAACTCTTGTTGCTAAAAATAATTACTAACAGGCTGAAAAAAGTATTGTTTAGTGATGACAAAAATACACAGCATGTCCATAATATTTGCTGCAGTTGTATTAAAATTGACTTGTGGTGCAATTTTATTGTCATGATTTTGACCAGAACGGGCCTCCATAACAGTACCTATTATAATCGTGCACCCCCTTCCCCCCTGCACCCCATCCCTGCCCCTCCTCCCAACTCTCTTGGCTGTGGCCAACTTGGGAGCTAACCTCTCTGATGCCGTCATTCTTTCTTGTCTTTTTATTGTTATATAATTATAAAAACAAGGGGTTCTGGTACACGATACAAACAATGGGTAACCCTCACTCCAGAGAGGAACCCGGATAGATCTGTAGATCAAGGAAGCCGCTTTTGAAATCTTAAAAGCTTTACGATAAAGTTCAAGCTAAGAAAGAGACCGGTCATTATTTATCGCCTGGGGGGAGAGGGGGGGAGATTCTAGGGGGGATCACTTGATTTTAGGGCGTACTAAAGGGGAGATCAGTCGTAACTGAGAACCCAGAAGAGGAAGATCGCTTAAAGCTTTGGAAGGATTCAGAGGAGGGACAACTCAAATTTACTTGGAAAATGAATACATGGGGGGGGGATTGTGAAAGTCATCAAAAGTTATTTGGGGGAATCACTTCAGTGAAGTAACATTCAATGGGGGGATCGGCTAAATTTCACCTTGTTTAGCCCCAAATCCTTCCCCCCCCCCCCACCACCGGCGATAAATAATGACCGGTCCCTAAAGCAGAAGCTTTACAAATAGGCTTCATTCTAAGCTGTAAACTTGATATTTGATTGTCACGAGAATGTTTAACTTTATTATAGATCACTCCAGTAGAAAAACGTCCTTGTCCGGCATTAGTGTAAAGTTCACACTCTTACTTCTTTTCGGGTTGCAATAAATGATTTTCTGAAACGGCCAATGTAGCTTGTCAAACTCGGAAATTTTCTGCTTGAAGATCTAATAGGACATTTAATGTTTTAAGAGCACCACATAATCGATCATTATGAGACGTCATCTTAGAGTGCATGCATGAACTCCCCAGAAGAAATGTTGCCTTCCTGTGATCGTTGAACTTCTCAGGTCAGGAATAACGTCAGAATAAATTTCACGATATCTGGAAAAACAAGAACGGGAAAAAATTAAATTTGACTCACGAGCCTGAAGTTCAAATCATCTTCTCCACAACGTCAGAGCCTAGCTCTACTGAACCAATCAAATGCGTGGAACAAAGTCATTATCATATGAACTGGGTGTTTATGAGCTGGTTGTTTCCCTGAGTTTAGGTCCGACTGCAAGACTAGTGTTTTACAGTGAATTAATGAATACCAACAAGAAAGAATAGCCTAAGAGAGCGAATCCCCCATAAATTACCCTCTTCCCATGAAAATTGTTTGAAATCTATTCTTGGTTCTGTGTCAGATGCTGCGAAAAAATTAGACCACGCGAGTCACGGAAACAACAGTCAAAAATAACCTTTGCAGCACGCGAGCGAACTTGAAAAACACCTCAAATAATTATCATGGGGCATAGATTGGGATTCGTTCTCTTGATATCTCTTTTGATATCAGGTTTATGTTTTCCCGCTTTCAGCACCAGCGACAAATTTACCTGCGAATTGCCGCTTGGGACTGGTTAAGCGCATCTATTGCTTTACTTTCGATGTTTTGGTTGCTTGAGGTAGCATCTTTTGCACTTAATGATTTCAATTCTTTGATGTGTGTTACAGCTACAAATTCAACTTAAAGGGACAAATTTGACAAAAACGTAGCGGAGATGAAACACCTGCAATGATTGACAACTTCAGGGGCGAAAAAGAGGGGGATTGCCCCTCAGTTTCATCTAATCAGTACTTGCGTCATTACCTTTTATGGGCATCAGTCTTAAAGCGTATTCCCAGCATTTCCGTCGTGCAGTGCAATTTCCTTTCTGGAGGCTCGTGGGATCGCTCTGTTGTTTGTTTGCTTGGAATCATGGGAAGCTTAACGTAATCAACTCCAGCAAGATGCTTGACTGGTAAAAGACTAACGCGAACCTGACCCAATTCGTTCAAGTTTTTATGTTCTGGATTAGAGAACCTGAGATGCTTCATTTCACCAAAAACTAAACTGCTCGCCTTATACGCAGTTAACGCAGGAATATATTTACTAGCAGTTCTAATCCAATTTTCGTGAGTACTTTCCTGTGAGCCACATTTTGGGCTGTATTCTTCTGAACCTCCTTGAATGTTTTGAGTGGTTTCTTTCAGGCTGGGCATCTGACTGATCTTTGTGAAATCCTGCGGAGCATAAGTGGGAAGTGGTATTTTGGGAAAGTTTAGCGGTGTTGCGCATATCGTTGAGACCAACTGGCCAAGTGGGCCAGACCACTGACAAATGTGGTTGAGTTTCCACATCGTTATCTTCCAGGTTATCAGGTCGATTCTTAGGAAGTCCTTTTTCAAGGTTTCCCCGCCACAGAAAAAAATTGTGATATTTTTGTATCATTTTTCCTCTTTTAGAAAAAGCAAGAAATTAAAGTTACTACTAACAGAAGGAAATTTTTTTGGCATTACGATCTCACACAGTTACACCGCATGGCTCATGATTATCACATTTTTATTAAAGTTTTTCTCATAGGCTTTCCTTATAATATTTATCTGCCCACTACACAGTGAAATTGGTCGGTTCACGGAGATGACTATTAGCCTAGTACTGTATTAATAATTCAGGTGAGTTAGTCCAGGACGAAGCCAATTTTGACTCAAAAGGTTTGTGTGGCACCTTTCCTAGAAGAGTTAGCCTGTTCCAGGCGTTCAGATAGTGGGGAGCGGTGCGAAGTAAAAAGGCACTTAAAAAAATAAAGAGTCCCCCTCTACTTTTCATCGCTTTCTTTACTTCGCACAGCTCTCCACTATCTGAACGATGGGAACAGGCAAGAGTGTATAGAATGATACCAAGAGACAAGAAACGATTCTCATTACATTTGGTTCGCTATAACCTCTATTTATGTATTCCCTTGGTTTCATAAACCCCGATCACCTGGAATATTTTCAGCTCTGCGAGGCGGACCGGTACCTAAGCATCGAGATCTAACCCACGCAGGGCTGGCTCGGCCGGTTGTCGTTTGATCGATCGCGAAGTTGTCATTTTTGTGGCGTTTGAGAGAAGCACCGATGGCCACCTGCCTGGCTCAAGAAATGGTCCTCAAAAAATGCATTGAAGTTGTTTTTCCGAGGGAAACTTTCTTTGAACTTATACAAAACTAGGTACACAGCCGTCGATTATGAATGAAATTCTTACCCGTTATCTAACTATTTGTAAATGAAGCGAGCTGTTGGATGACACCAGTTAAAGCTTACCTCGACCTGCTCCTCTTCATTTTCAGTTTTTCCTTTGATCTCTTCTTGATCTTTCACTTCCCAATCTTCCACTTCAATTAAACTAGTGTTTTCCTTGTTAGGAATACTAACTACATTGACTTCACACGCCTCCCCTCTTTGATTCGGGGTGTGTTTACTATCCTTTATTGTGTCCTGGTACACTGAAGTGCTGTAGATTGAGTATGACAGTTTCTCCAATGCGTCCTCAGTTGAAGGGAGAAGTTGCTAAGGAAAAGCATACACGAAATCAGCGGCATTCTGATCAGGCAGAGCAGGTAATTAAAGTTTCACAAATTAAATCACTATTGAAGTGGTTTTCAGGAAAAAGGACACTAGTTTAGCCTAATTTGTTTCATTTCAAGGCTAAGTATATTCTGGAAACTACTCAGTTCTAAAACGACACAATCACAGCTTTATGACAAAAAAAATGAGTCTTCTAAGCTTTATAATACAATGAAACTAGCAACAGAGATAATCTGAACAACTTCTGGGCCGCTGAACAGTTTTAAAAAACAGCTAAAATCCGTTTAAACCTTCTTGAGTTTTGCCCGTCTGTCCTTTCTTTTGCATCGGTGTAGTGGTAAAGTGCCTCTTCCAATGATTTGACTAGTTCTTTTTATAACTCACGTACTTAATTTGGTAGCTAGTTCCTCAAGTCAAATTTGGCTCACCCCTCCGTCTTGTTCAGTACCTTCAATTCTAACCTCCCTTTCCCCTTCCCTTTCAACTCCCTCTCTTGGCTTTCCCCATAAACCCTGCTCCCCCGTACTTTTCTCCCCAAAGATGCCGCTAGTTTTACGTACTCATCTTTACAGCTACAATCTACATTTGAATTTTTTCCTCTAACTCTACTTTTTAAGTTGATTTCAAAAACTATTCTAATGGATGCAAACATGTTACTTGCTGCTGAATCGTAATAAGATTCTTTCATCTTGCCTAGACTACGAACAGTCTCTTATTTTTCGTTGCAAAGTTACACCACGAGCAACTCATGCACGCAATAAACGGGGGCGTAGTCAGCAGTCGCGCTGGCTGGGATAAGAACTAGACGGATTTTTAGAGAAAAGTCGAACTGCAAACGGTCCACAGCTTACCTGTTTGAGTTTCTGTTGAGAGGAAACTAAAGAGAAAAAAAGGAAAAAAAACTTGAGTCATTTCCCTACTCTGGTCGTCATTCCATTTACCGATTTTGGCCTCCTCTATATAGACAGCGCTTAAAATGTTCAAGTTTTACTTGTTTGCACATGAAGTTGGTTTATTGCGGTTCCTTCTCTAGCTATTTGAGCTTTTTCGGTGGTAGGGAGATTTGCCCCCAGCCTTAATTTTAGCTTCCTCAATAGGCCAATAGGCCTTCATCAATGACAGTGTTGTCCGCTATCTTGAAAAACGTTTGATGTGATACCGTGGACCTCGTGGACAGGCGTGCAACACCAAGCTGGCATTGGTAATTGCGAAAAAAGTAAAAAAAAAAAATTTAAAAATTATAAAAAAAAATGAAAAGTTGGCAAGAATTTTAAAAGTTGCCGAAAATCACAAAAGTTGACGAAAAGTTGCCGAGCAACTTTTGGCTAAACTTACTTACCACCAAATTTGGTGCGCTCGGGGTCAAATCTAGGGAAAACGTCAAACCGACAGATGTGCGAGGTGTAGGCATGTCCAGGCCATGGTTCGTCTAATTTCTCGTGTCTAGAGCGAGGTAAAATAACTATATTTATTAAACATTGTAGTCACCATCTGTCTTCTCATTGGCTAAAAGCCTACAGTTAATTCTGGGAAACAGCGCATGATTGTGGGGTGGTAGCAAATCCAGTTCTTTCGGCTCGTTCGCTTTCTTCAGTTAGGCCGAATCGAATCCTGCCCTTGTAGCTTTCCCACCTAACTGACTGAAAAAAAGATTGCTTTTAGCATTCTGTCTTAATAAATCGAGACATTTTTCTTTTAGATAAACTTTCGTTTGAATTACAATCTTTAATATTGGGGAGTTTTTTTCAATGCTTTGTTTTCTTATTTCTCATCCAGTTTTCCTGGTTTCATGTGAGTTGTATGATCCCCTTTAGCTTACATCAACCATATAAACTGAAAGTAAAATTCCTTTCTCACTTTGCGAATAGTGATGTCAGACATTTCAGAGCCCAAAACTATCTTCAGCTCATTCATATTCAATAAGATATTGCTTTTTAATCTTTTCTTGCCAAAGCCACCTAGCTACACAATGCCGGCCCATTGGCATATCAGGAACTTACTCTGTATCCAGTGGTGCCGGTAACCTGCAAAAAGACGGGAAAGGTATCGTCATTCCAATTAAAGTCACAATGACGCCGTTATTTATCTAGGTCATCAGAAAGGGCCTCACGTTTAATGCAGGCATTAAGATGGTTATTTACGTTAACAAAAAGACTACAGGGCCAGCAAGAGGTTTTCAACTAAAACAGAAAAACACGTCTCCAGGTGTCTTCAGACTATACAAAAGCGCTGAAAGGCAGCCACTCTTTTGAAATCAAGCTCCTTTTAATGTTTCCAGGCAGATGATGTCGAGTTCATTCAGTGTGAACAAGTGACATTGAACGATTGATATAGATTGAGCGTACATTCAAGTTGCGTACTGGATATCTCCCCACATGTTCGACGAGATGGAATGATTGCCGGTCCAATATAATTTTAAGACGTTGGTATATATCAGTGTTCCGTCCAAAAGGAGAAAATGTACTGTTACACTTACAACTGATCGTTCATCCTGCAGCCGCTAAGAGACAATGATGTTACAGCGTAAGGTTGGCTACACGCATTACTAAAAAAGAGAAAAGCCAAATCAAATTGATCTTATAGCAACACACCTATTCAGTTCGCTGTTGCATGCGCTTGTTCATTAAAGGGCCTGTAGCGTCGCGGCTGTCTAGTCGTTGATTATGCAAATTACCGGTACTCTTCCTTATTCGTTATGGAACGTGATAAATTTACTTGTGAACAAGATCACATCTTCGTATCAAACAAATAAGTCTCCCAAGCTGCGGGTCTAAAATACAGGTCGTTTTTGCACGGGTCAGAGTACAGGTCACCACTTGAGACACAGATAATTTTACGGAATTAAAAGTGTATCCAAGCCATAATCTCTTAATAAAATCCTCTATTAGATCGAGGGGAATCTGTGTGGCTTGGTAATTTATCGATGGAGCAGTGACCTGTACTCTTACCTGTGGAATAGGACCTGTACTTTAGACTCGACTTTTCCCTAGCATTATTTCAAACGTTGAGTACAGTTAATGAATATTATTTTAAAAAATGATAAAAAATGATTTATAATCTAACACACCTCTTCGACCTGTAAGGAGGACCTGTCGCTTAAAGAACCTTGTACAGCGTTCCTAAGCAACGATGACCTCGCCTTGTTTCGGCCTAATAAGACCGAATCAGTCTTGAGCCCAGAGCTCACGCTTTTGACTCCACGTGAATCTGATGCGCAATAGAGAAGAGCTCTGCATGGGGTCGAGAATGAGGCCGAAGCAGCTGTTCACGGCTGTGCGCATACTTAAAGGAGGTATGTCACGACATTTTTCAAAATCCTAACAGTAGGAACTGCGAAAAATTGAGTGAAACCACCGCTCAAAACGACAAAAGAAGGTGTAAATAACACGGCAACTGCAAAAGCAAGCCCGGATGGACAATCCTGAAGAAGATTGAAACGGATTGCAAATGGTTTTTGAAAACATGTCAGCCTAAACTGTCTGTTGTTTGTAGCAAGCAGTGGTTTCTCCAGGCCGGACGCTACGCTACGAAGGGAGAGAAACCACTGCGAGCATCCGTCTGCTTCTTTGATGGAAACGCCGTCCAGCGCTATGGATGTTTGAAAGCAAGTTTAGGCTCTCGCGCATTTGCTTACGCTTACAATTGCTGCTTTAATGCGAGCCTGCTGTGGATATTCAGTGTTTCTTTGGATTATTTATTCCTATCTACTTACTTTGTCAAATGTAGGCAAAACCCAAATGGAGTTGAATTCCAAGGGACCATATTCAAGTTCAAGAGCGAAAAGAAAAATAAATTTCGTCGTTGCTTGTTTACGTTATCCATAAAAAGCAAAATTAGGCATCTTCACGTCGTAGTCGTGTAAAAATGGCAAAGAAATGCAAAAATAAAAGCGTGATGCACGTGCAAAGTTGTTGTTTTTCTTATTAAACCTATCGTTTTGTTGAAGTTCTCGTTGCCGTCTTGTCGATGGATATTCGTAGTCATCACGTGGACGCGCATGCTCGAGGGAAAAGCAAACGGTTGCTCGCAGTGGTTTCTTTCCCACGGGAAGCGTAGTGTCGAGCCTTGAGAAAGCACTGCTCGCAGGGTACATTAACTGTGGATTTAAGGCCAAAGTTATCTGAATCATTTACCCAATTCTCGAGGCTAGGTCTCTCATCTTTTAGCGTCAGAGTGAGATCTGGGAATGAGATTACCCTTTGGAATGTGAAAAATGAAACACATAACTAACATATTTCACTTACTAGTTATTCACCCCACTGGAGTAATGCCTGTGAGTGCGACATTTTACGATGTCTTTTACGACAGCAGGGGCCTGGGATAAGACCGCAAGTCTCCTTATGCCTCCATATTTGGTGTCCTCTGTCCCCCAACTTGTTGCATTATTTGGCCTTCGAAAAACCCTATAAAAACAAAACACCATCAGAGATGTATTTTCCATGACGTGATTGGACACCTTAAAAGGAAAATGGATAAATTTTGCCTTGAACCGGATTACAAATAAATTGCATTGAACCTATCCGATCACTAGCGTGAGTATTAGTCGTTTTGGATCATTATACGTTTCTGGGAAACTGCATACCTACTCCTCCCCTAAGCCAACATGCTCACTTCGTGAACGATTTAAAGAAAGTAGACCGGCAAAAAAACAATCCACTCCGCGCAGACGACGCCACAGCAGCAGTCCCTTTCCACTTAAATCAACCTGGCCACTCTATCGCAGACATGGAACTTATTCTGGTGGAATTACAACCCACTCTCAGCATGTCACTCCGTAAGGCAAGAGAAGCGTACCTCATAGAGAGAGGTAAAACCCTGTCATCAGACGGTCTGAACCGAAGGAATGAACATTGAACTGTTTCTATTTCTATTTTTATTGGATAATCATTTACCTGTATATTATTCTACCTAGTATTTATAATTTTAGTTAATTATTAACCACTTATGTAAATCTTAAATTTCAATTTTAGAAACCGTTAAAAGATTTTTTCTCTCTTCTGGCTCTGGCCCTGAGGAAGGCTAATTTTGTTAGCCGAAATATTGGCCTATAATAAATCAGCTCTTTGCCGTAGTGGCAGCCTTGCATTCAAGGCAGTGTTAATGTTGGCTTAGGGGAGGGGTAGGTGGGGGTAGTTTCTTGGTGTTGGGGACGGGTGCAATCACCGAATGGCGTAATCCATAAGACTGAAAAGAAACTGAATTATACCCTGATAACCAAATGATTTATTGATCGCAGGCTTAAGTTTATGTTTTTCAGTCATATGGTTCTTCCTTAATTATATAGATTTAAACATTTCTTTGCAATGATTTAAAGTCCATTGTATGAAGTAAATTTAAAATGCATAAACGAGAGCTTCGCTTTTAGCTCTTGCTAGATCTTTATATTAACATTCACTCTATGCGCGAATAATTTTAACAAAATACAACATTAACCTGTAGAGGGGAAACATCCAAAAGCGCCTACGCGCCATACTAGGGATGCTCCCGATATAATAAAAAAAACAGCTATATTACAAAGAAGAGTAAAATTAAATGAATAAAAATTGAATAAAATATTCCACTGAAACAGTTCTAAAACTATCCAATTACTTCTTTTCATAGAAAAGAGGAAACCATATTCTTGAAAATTGACTTACTCAGTTTTAGCCTCCCTGACGTATTAGGTAGGCTACACATTCATTGACAATTCTATTAACAGTCGGAAGGTTAATTACTGCGAAGTATGAAAAAAAATCATTCAAGTAAACTACGGATAAAGCAGGCAAATTCAGATGTGATCCTAGCTCGTTATTCGGGTTTTTTTTTTTTGATTGAACATGGTCAGTTAACAGTAAGTAACAAAATGATGCGCACGCGTTTGCGCGTTCGATCGAATGCATTTGGGATTTCCACGACATTCTGGACTATAATTAACTTACCCCAAAGAAGAAAAAGTAATTCTTCTATGTACTCCTGGGGTGAGGAGATCTGAAGACAGAAAAGTCGGCGAAATTTGTACTTCGCCGCTTCCTGGATTATAGCACGGCATGTTCTATGCTTAATTAATTACAAATTATTTTATGATGACATCACAAATGTGTTGATCCATAGATATCCTCGGAGATATCCACACTAACGTAACAAGACAAGCGAACTTTCAATATAATGATGTAATTCAATTTTCCATTCCAGTGTCCACGTGTCCATTTTGTGCACGAGCAAAAGAACTGTTGCTGCTTATAATATGCTAAAAACAAATGCCTAACTCAAAAGCGGTCATTATGAGTGACTGAGTTTGACTGTGTTCAAACTCGATTTGGTTCGAGTACAAGGCAGCCTTTTTAAGCGCGAACGGAAGTCGACGTCTTCTTTGTGATCTTACAATTTTAATTTGTAATTTCATTTTAGAAGTCCCGAATCGCTACTACTTAAAGTAACTTATATAAGTGGAGGTTTTATTCAAAGGGCAAAACTGGTCTTTGAGAAATTGTAAATGCCGAGACTAGGGATGCGTTCGAATAACTTGATTTTCTGACTGAAGAGGCTCGAAGCTAAGAGAGAAATATCTTGGTTTGTTTTTAAACCGAAATTACAGCATTTATTACAGCTGTTTAGCACGCTGCACCTTGCACGCTGTTCCTCGCGCGGGTCAATTTTTAATCAGGCGTCCCAGTCCCTCGTTCCCAGTTCACGATGAGTAGCATCCTCGGAGACCCAGGGGCAGTCAGTCGGGCCGGGAGAAAAGGCGCGACGAAAGTTTTCAAGTACGGGCGAAAGAGCCCCTGGGTACCGACTCTCACCGGACCATTTCCAAAAATTCAAAAGGATGCCGGCTCCTGATTGGGCACAAAAAAACCTTTGTATTATTGTGCCCAATCAGCGAGCAGCATCTCCTGAGTTCTTTTCATGTGTTCGTACACGACGGCTATTATCTCGCCATACTTGTCTGGTTCGTTCACCAAGGTTGTGCGTGTATATTCGCAAGGGAAACTTTCACTTTCTGCTTCCCTAAACAGGAACGAAGGAACTATCGATGACTCGGAAAAACGTTTCGGATGACTAATTGCCATTTACACCAAGAAAATTCTGCTTCTGACCGATCACAAGGTATCGTAAACAACGTAAATAGAAGGCGTGAACGATAAAAGCATGAATGGAATACGTCTTGAAAGCTCAAGCTTTAAAATACCCTCACATGCGTTTCCATGTGTTAGTTTTCGGGAAGACAGTATTTTCAAATGGACGGGGATGTTCTTTATAACTGAAAGTTTCCTGATTGCGTGCATTTCTTTGGTGAACGAGCCAGACAAGTATGCACGCGCGCATGCATTCCCACAGGTAAAGTAAGAAGGCTTTCTAAATTACCCGCGTTAAGTAGGTTACGCTACGCACGTGTGATTTATGGAGAATCATGGCTGCCATTATTCCAACAAGGAAAGATATTAGAGAAGCTATCTCTGAAGGTCTTAAGTCTTTTCCAGACGTCGAGGAACTGAAGCCTGAGCAGGTTTTAATCGTTGAGAATGTTGTCCTTAAAAAGGATGTGTTTGCAGCTTTGCCCACCGGATTTGGTAAAAGCCTGACTTTTCAGATCTTGCCTAGCGTTTGTAAAGCTTTATTTTACCGGGGATTTGACATGCCTTCATTGCCAGTGGTAATTGTGGTTTCCCCTTTAAGCTCAATCGTGAAAGACCAGGTTACATACTTGAGGTCATACGGCTTTGAAACTGCCTTCATTGGAGAAAGTGCTAAACAAGATAATGATATTTTTGAGGGCAAGATTAAATGTCACTTTTTATATGGAAGTCCAGAGTCATTTGTTGGGGACATAAAGTTCCGGGAAATGTTTTCACAGCACCATTACAGGCAGAATGTTGTGGCCGTTGTTTGTGACGAAGTTCACACTGTTGTACACTGGTAAGAAAATTTAAGCTTTATTTGTTTCCTTTTTATTCTTGAAATCTGCTTAATGCAATAATAATTATTACATTAAATTGAGTTAAATAATGTTTTTTAGCTGTAAACTGATGTCAAAAATTTCTGTTATTACTAACTCATTGTAAAGAGGAAACATTCTCTCATGAGTGACATGACAGATGTACAGTATAGGTGTTAGTCTTCTCTAGTAGGAAAGGTACAGTTTCCTATATTTGCAGAAATTAATTGCATTGCATGTGCTTAATGTAAGCTCTCAGGTGGTAAAAACGTGACAGTATATACAATACATTGTATACTGGAAGCAAGTATCATAAAACTTGCCACAATGTTACCTCCATTGTAATATTGTCTCTGTGATGTTTTGCTACCCACTAACTCAAAACCATGGCCAGTTTCTTTTGAATCATGCTCCTTTAATATATCCTTTCTGAAGAAATATGGACAGTCCTAGTTAAACCCCTATCAGGAATTGCTAAATTCTATGTTGCAGTTGTATACTGTTTCCGCATTTCTTACACAAAATTATGTACATTTTCATGCCTAATAGTGTTCTTGGAATTGTTCAATATCTTATGATTACACAGTCATTCTAAAATATTTATACAATAACAAGAGCATTATTATAATTTTTGCTGCTTGCATGGTAGATAAGTAAGATATATTATTTATGTAGAACATCGCTCTTTAGCTACAAATCACTTGTCTGGTCTCTCTAGGGGTGAGAAAAAGGATGGAAAGGAGCCATTCAGAAAGTGGTGTGGTCTTGTTGGTGAGATCAGGTCTTTTTTGCCAAAGCAAGTCCCGTTTTTAGCACTTACAGCCACTGCTTCACCCTTGACCAGAGATAAAATCATTAAAAGTTTGAGTTTAAAGAAATGTCTGGAAATATCAGTTAGTCCAAACAGAGAGAACATCAAGCTGTTTGTTTTGAAGGTTAGCAGTGAAATTTCTGTAAACTTTACATGGCTTGCCAGGGAGTTAAACGAAAAGAACATTGCATGTCTGCGGACATTAATATATGTCCGAGACTATAAAACATGTGGTGAGCTCTACCAAGTTTTCATGAGCAGTTTGCTTGACAAGGCGTACTACCCATATGGTATTGAAAAGAAGTGTACAAACAGAATGGTGGCAATGTATCACAGTGGCACTTCACCTTCCATCCAGGATCACGTATTACAATCACTCAAGGATCCAATTGGTAAGGTGCGAATTGTGATTGCAACAAATGCCCTTGGAATGGGGGTAGACATAAAAGGTTTACACCATGTTATAAACTATGGTCCTCCCCCAGACCTAGAATCATATGTTCAAGAAATGGGAAGAGCTGGTAGAGATGGTGCATATTCAGAGGCAGCATTACTCTTTCATGGAAGACAACTTCGTAAGTGTAAACCAGAGATGCTGGAATACACAAAGTCAAAGTCCTGCAGGAGAAGGCAAATTCTTGATTTTTTTAAAGTTACAAGTCAAGGAAGAAGAATAGAGACAAAACATTTATGCTGTGATGTCTGTGCTCAAGATTGTGCTTGTGGACAAGACTGTCCACAAAATGTGGGAACTATGGTCTCCAAAATGACTCTTCCAGCAGCTGATGATGCTCCAAGGGGCAGAAGTGTAAGTGAAAGTGATAGAAGAGCCCTAAAGGGTCTATTAGAGGAGTGTCAGGAAAGCATGTGTCAGGCAGTGTTACAATCAAGTCAGCATTGTTTTTATTCAAATATTGACCAAATCACTGGCTTTACTGACCGCATAATTGAAGATACAACCTCAAAGTGTGATTTTTTGTTTAGTGTTGATGATATTATTGAACAAATTCCAGTTCTGAGTGTACAGCATGCATTCAAAGTGTATCATTGTCTTTGTGAGGTGTTTACAGACCTACAACAACAAAGTCTGGAGCAGTAGTTAATATATAAACTCCCTTGTCAGGACTTTCAGCAGTATCAATGCCATTCATCCATGTATGCTGTGTATTTTGATAATAACAGTATATTTTGCAAAGAATAATTACTTTTCTTAGGCTATGATATTTCAATACCTACAGCTGGACTTGGCTTTGATATAGCCTCCTCTAAAAGAATTTGACAAGATGTGAAATGGGTTTTTCTGTGGGACATGAAGCTGTTCCGTTAATATAAAAATTCAGTTTTTTTAAAAAAATTCTTGTACCATTTGTTCTTGTTTTGAATGAAAGACTGTGAAAGGTGGGTCCCTGTTATTGGCCAGTAGGGACAGAGACTGATAGAAGTCAGTGACTAATTTGACTTGCAAGGTTTAAGTGATGCAAAATAGCTCTTACAGTTTTAAAAGATCACTTTCCAGCATCAGTGCTAGAAACTAGCTTTTTCATTTGCCCCAACAAAGTCAATTAATAATTTTTTCCTTCTCACAAATTTTGAAGAAATTTGGCTGGGAGAGTTGATAGCCACTATTAGTTTTTGAAAATTTAAAATGACTCACTTGCTCTGTCTGGCCAACACATTTTTTCTTCTTTTTAAGGTAAAAGACACCAAAATTAAGGGCGTTTGTAACTGATTATAACACTATTAGGGAAACTTTAAATGTCAACCAACTAACATATTATCCTATTCACTAATAGTATAGGGCATGCAATTGAGGCCATTGTTGTGGGGTCAAATGAAAAAGAGTTGTATCCATCTTTTAAAAATAGAAGTCCTTAGTAATCTTTTAGGAGAAACCTTATGTGGCCATACTGAACCAACTATTTGGAATAAATTTTTGACTTGACTTAAAAATTGTAAGAATGTGCATCTATACTAAATTTACCCAGCTCTTCTTGTGCTTTGTTAGCCATGCATTTAAGTCTGCAAAGTCAAGAACAGATATGGGGTCTTTAGGGATGGATCCAACATTAGGGTGTGTTCTTCCAGGAACTTCACAAAATGCTTCAATTTCCTTTAAAATGTTGACAATGGTAGTGATGTCTGAATCTTCCCCTCTTTTGTGTTTTGTTGACTCTCTGCGGACATTAGTTGTCTGATCAAAATTGTTCATGATGGACTTGACATCGTCACTAGCCCTGCTGTAGGTCTGAGCCACCTTGAAAGAAAGGTTTGCACCTTGGCCATACATCAGCTGCTTCGTGTC